CTAAGATCATTATCACTTAATCACTTTGCTGTACCTAAACATCGTCAATAACCAAGCTTTAAAACTGCTGACAATTGATTATAGAAAACAACTGAAAAAGAAAGTAAGTCTTGAGTCAAGCTTTCTGTGTAAGGAACTGTACAGAATACTGATGAACATCTTTTTTCAGATTGTGCCAACTGACACATAAAAACAACAGTACTAGAGACCAAAATAAGTATGTTAAAGAGATTTCAAGTGTGGCTCAAGCTGCTTACTGATTAACACTTCTGCATACAACACTCCTCACAGACCTGTGCAGTTATTGTTTAAAAGTGAAACAAGGCTCTCTTGGCAACTGGAGACAAATGATCCTCCCTGACCAAGTTCACAGTTCTCACATAGCTTAGCAGCATTGGAGGTGCTTCTTCCAGAGGCTCTAGGGGAAAAAAAAAAAACCAAAAAAACCCCCAAAAAAACAATCCCAAGATTTAATGCCTATCAACTATTTCCAGGATAAGGAAGAGCCTTAATAATCTCCAACAGGAAACATGCTCATACTACACATAAACATTAGCTAACTAACTGACTTATTTTACCAGAAAAAAAATTAACAGTCACATTTGCAAGAATATAGGAAATCAAATACACTGATTTTTCATGTCAAGGAACAAAATTCACACTGCAGGAACCACAGAAACGGAAGATGACAGCCGTCTTTCAAATGACCCTGGAAAGGAGAACAAAAGGGGTCCATGCCTATATGCACAAGTTTCTGCATTTCTTACTAATAAATGTCCAGATTTGCTTCTTCAGGTCCCATCTCAAGTATTTTCATGTCGAGTCTTCACAACTACAACATAGTCTTAGTCACATACCCACACACTGACTACACTGGTTTGAGTGGAACAGTCAGGGTGGTACAAAAGGCCAGACCGGTTTCCAAGGCTTGAACTCCCCACGTGTGCAGTATCACCTGCTGCCAGGGAGAATGAGGGAGGCAAGGAGATGGCTACGGCTCTCATGACTGAGAGCTGCTCACAATTTCCGGAAAGTCTTGCCAGGCATACCAGCTCAAACCACAATTACAATAAGGAAGACCAAAAGCCAGGCTGACAGGCTGCCTTTTCCCTCCCCATGTCCATGTTGGACCTCTCCACCAGCTTAACAAGCACGCTGGCTGGAGGTGCAGCAGCTGAACCACCTCCATCCAACAACAGCACCTCAGCACAGAATTTCAGCCACAGTGGAAATTCTCCATCAGCCAAATCCAAGCTGCTTTAAGACTACAACATATTGTGTTACAGGACAGGAAAATCCACTCCTAAACTTTGAATGAACTGCCATAAGCATGTTAAGTATGATCACAGCGATTCAGAACAAGGATCCAACTCCCCCAGCAGGACCCTCCCCCCAGTGGTGCTTACGAATAATGCCGAGGGAAAAATACAAGGCGTCCTCCTGAAATACTTCCACAGTCACCTTCCACAACTACCTACACCCGCAGGGAAATGTTTATCTTTAATACCTTTTGATGGACTTCAGAAACATGTTTTCATTCACTGAGTAAGAGAAACTAGTATAGGTGTTGAACATACGGGTTCTTTCAGAAAATGTGTCGTTTTCAGAAGATTTGGGATTTTCATCACTACATGAGACATGAGCACACTCAAGATATGCCTGAACATAGTCCAGCTTACACTCAGAAGTCCATTGTCTGCACAGAGAAATGAGTAAGACAAGCAATAAGAAAAGCTACTAGGTTTTCTAGAAAACAAAATACTATTCAGATGTGTATAAAGTGTGGATATGCTGGTAACAAATCCTTGAATACCTAACTTTTGGACATCACTACATTTATATCACAGTTCTAACTTGAACTATTTGAAATTTACACACTTTAAAAAAAATTACCTTCTTAATAGAACACTCAATAGAAAGCTGGATTTATTAAATTACTTTTTTTTTTCATTACAAGACTTCTGCAAAAGATCTGCATTGATGAGAAAAGTTGAAGACCAGGGCTGGCCAGGTTATGGTCTTGTGTCTGTCTTTACTGTTCTCACCCTCTTCCCCTTCCTGCTCATTCCTACCTGATGTCTCTCTAGCTCATTTTCACCTCAGCACATACTGTCACTAAAGATGTCTTTCTAGGCCTGAGTAAATCTAAGAGCTGTGAAACCGATTATTCACAAAAAGTGGTCAAATACACATATCAAACAAATTGAGAGACAGTAGATTTCCAATACCAAGTACATGTACTGTTATGCCTGCATTCTCCACCAAATTTCTGTGTGAAAATATCTAATATGGGTACACAAAAGTGTACGTTCCTGGGGGGGGGGGGGTATCACTGTACTAGCACATTTTTCTGTACTGAAAAAAACCCAACATTGTACTATTTTCTTTTTCATATGCACAACATAGTACTGCAAAGCATATTATACCATTAGCTACCACACAGGAGGTAAAGTAACTTAAGTCAGAGATGTACACCAGTGAATGTTCAGACTTGCTTGTTTTCTCCATACAGTAACACAGCATAATGTGCTTCAGGTTCTCATCATGCACAAAAGCTAACAGTTTCTTTTAAGTTGACTTAGGTGGCATCGTTTCTAAAAATAATCTTCTTGCAAAGCTCTGTAACATTATGCAAGATAAAGAGAGTCTTCATGCAAAGTAAAGACTCTCTGTGTGTTGTGGTTACTGTAGATTATTACTGTTCTCTTGTGCAGTCAGCACCACCTCCTGTCAAAAAAAAAAACCTCTGTAAAAAATAAGGCACACAATTGGATTGCCCCAAAATATTCTGTTCTTTCCTCCATTCCAAACTGAAGCTCCTGGGTTTGTTTTTTTTTTTTAAACTGTTTTATCCATTATTGAAAGATTGCAGGGAAACTATTCCAAAACCACCACCAAGTCATTTTCTTGTGTATCATGCTGATTTTACTATCCCATGAGTTTTGAAGTAAAAAACCAAAAAAACCCAAAAAACTACTTTGAATAGTGCAAACTTCTACAACTGATACTGAGACAACTGTAAAAGGAAAACCGTTGTCTTCCTGAGATGAAGGTTTAACTAAAATAAGTACCTACCAAAAGATATTTTGCTCCATGTACCCACCACCAGAAAAGGATGAAATATGAAGAAGCTGCAAAAGCACAAACTAGATGAATAGTTTTATAGGGTTTACAGTCTTATTTACATACATGCTATGGTTTATACAGCATAGCAAGGTTCAAAGTCTTAGAAAATTATCTGGACATGACCAAGTGAATGAGACTTAGCTCTTCCATAATGTGTACGTTCCCAGGGCACATAATCTTCAACTCTGCAAGTGGTCCTGCTAGTAACAAGAACTTTAAAGCATGAGGATTTACTAATCCAAATCCATAGAAACACAGAATCTGAAGTCCATCATATCTGAAGTCCACAGTGTCTTGTCTAACCAGCACTGTTTATACGTAAGCTTCCCTAATGCCAGCCCTTCAGCTGAATTCTCTACTCACTATCCCACAAAATAGCAGACTAACTTTACATATGTGAGAACTAAACAGGCCAAGAAGGAAAGATGGAAATGACAGCAGCTAGAACAGAGCAGTCAGGCACAGCAGTTCAAAATCCCCAAACCAAGGACACTAAACTACGTGATGGTCTCTTCACCCTGTGATGCTGCTTTGCCACACATACTGCAGGTGGATTATCTGTTATGTAGGGCTATTTTAGAGATCTCAGCATGGATTCCCTGTTTTCAGGCACGTAATTTTGAAGGCAGCAGGAATCAGGCTCTACGTGTAGTGAAAGGTAAAGAGAAAAGTTCCTCCAAAGCTTATTGTGTGAGGATTCGTGCTCTCTTTGCTGTAGCAGAAGCTTAAAGCTATATGCTGTGAATTACACCCACCACCACCACCAAAGCAAGCAGCAGACAGGTGATCTTGGAGGTCACCCAATGAATATGTATATGTACTACCACTGGTCTGACTCAGCAGAGCACTCAAGCATGCAGTTAACTTTCAACTTGTTCTGAAACGATACTGGTTTCAAGCCTGCAAGCCTTGCTGAAGAGGGATGGACTTCCTAAGTTTTCAAAGGGAAGTAGGGAAGAAAAAGAATGGAGAGAAGCAACACATTTGGAATAAGACGGAAGATCTCTGTCTCCTTTTCTGCACTTTCACTCAGATATTAACCCAAGCTTCTCTTGGTATTTTAAACTATTTAATTCTTTTCTATGCATTAAATTCTCATTATCTATGTACATTCAGTTTCAAAAGTGTGATACCAAAACTCCTCCAAAAGAGTATCCCGATCTCCAGCATGACCAGCATCAAGAAGTACTGAAAACGTAGAAGTTCTGTTTTGATTTGAAAGACGCAACAGTAAACAGTCAAGTACCTTCTCATAGATAGGTAAATCCCTGATGCACAAGCACGTAACTCACAGAGGAACAGCCTCCAAATTTTGTGAGGGCTATGCATTGTTATTTTCTACATCATAAACAGTGGTTCCGAAAAATGGATTGCAAATCTATGGTTGAGACATGCTTCAAAGTGCTTTACAGCTTGTCCAGCCTAAGCACTCTAAAAAGCATGACTACATTACTGCTTTCATCAGGAAGCAGCTGCTAGTCACCAGTGGAAAGCTGTGTTCATGCATCCAAGGAGAGTTTCTGATAGCACTCACAAAATTCTGGTGCCACGGAACATAAAATGACTATCCGGATTTGTTGAGTCAAGAGGTTAGGTTAGCAAAGCAAAGGCAAACTACACTGTTTATAAAGAATCCTAGGACACCTCAGGGATTCTGAGCAACTGCTGTGTAATACAAAGCCTCTGGGAATAATCAAACAATGAATTACTTGTGTGCAAAACAGCAACACATTTTGTTTCAGTATCTCTTCCTTTGTAGTAAAAAAGTGGTAAAGAAGAGACTGGATTCCATCTACTAAAAGCAATACCATCTGGGTATGTGATATTGGAGAAGAAATGCTATTACTAATAGCAATAGAAAAAGTGAGTCTTACCTTCACCTGTACATGGGGAGAAAGTATTTCCAAATTCTTGCTGTTTTGGCTTTAAAGACTGTGGGGCTGGCAGTCCTGGGAGCTGTGGGACTTGTAATAAAGGCTTCCCATTTGTAACCACTTGTTTCCCGGGACTTAGAGCAGGAAGGTGAATAGTACTGGCAATGATGTTGCTCTGAGGAACCACCCCTCCTCCAAGGGGCATCTTTAAGTGTAGGCTGGCAGACAAGTTTCCAATAGCTGGGCTTGGGGTGCTGCTATTTGAAGATGGGCAGGGCATTCCTGCATGAACTCTGATAGGTGGGATCTGCTGTCCACTGATCATCTTAGGTCCATGAGGAATACCTGTTGTCCGATGGCTCATATTGCATGACCTCCCATTCATTTTTAAGAAGTTAATGTAATCAAAGAGTGTTTTTACAGACCCACAGCTATGACTGATATCAATCCAAAGTCAGTCAGTAATCCATTGCTCATTATGCCTGTTTAAAAAATACATAAATAGAAATAATTGATATTGTATTAAATAATACATGAAAAAGGACTGCACATGACTGTTAACTTTGTGACATTACTGGTTACAAGAAACAAAGTACAAGCACTGTATGGTCTGTCAGGGAGTAGGAACAAAGCCAAGCAATGACTTAAAGCTCTAACACGGAGAAAACCTGCCTCTTCAAAAGCTGAAGTTTGCAATAAGGTCAGTTGCCTTCACATTAGCTAAACCAGCCATGAAATTAAGTGAATGCTGACCAAGTGCAAGAAGGCAGCCAGGAGCGAAAAGACTCTCTAATAGGGAGTTGTCATTAGGATGAACACAGCTATCGCCCCTTTTTCTGCCATCTCCTCAGTCTATTAATTAAAATGTTGCTGAAAAGCACACACAGTAGGCCAGCACTATGCAGATATAGACAAAACAGGAAAGATACCAGTTCACATTCTAAAGGATGTGCATACAGCAAAATGAAGAGGGAACAGCAAAACCACAGAAATGCCTCTATGGTCCTTCACTGTAGAAAAGTATTGCAAGAAAGCACAGCACAGAAGTATTCATAAACATAACTGCAATCACTTCAAAAGTGGATGCTTATTGCAAGCCTACAGATATGCCATAATTTAAATGTAATCATACAGTAGCAAATTTTGAAGGACATCTTTCAAATTATACCACTAATTTTTGAACTCTGACTTTTTGTCACTTACATTTTCCCGTTATTTAAATCTTAGAAGACAAGACTGGTAAGGGGTTGGAGAGATCATCTCAGCCACAACCTACCCCAAGGCAGAATCAACTAGATCTAAACATTTCCTGACATAAAAAAAGATTTGTAGGCAAAAGCTGCACTTGTCAGTGTAAATCACTGAGCTAAGAGATCGCACAGATGGGGTATTTCAGCCCTAACTCAGCTGAACAGCACATGCCCAACTTTCATTACTAGGTTCATATGTTTAACATTAAGCACATGTTTAAGTAGTTTGTTCAATCATAGACTCAGTGCCTAATTAACTTGTTCAGACAAACAAACCAAGTTGACAGAAATAAAACTGAAGTACGGCTTCAATTATGGTTTTCATCCATGTATACATCAAGGTTTTAATTAAGTATTATGATCTTGCTGCAGCAAAACACTGAACTGTAATTTTTACCTTCAGCACGTGAGATTTTCAACACTGAAGCCAATAAGATTATAACCTGTATATTCATGATTGAATTTCATGTAAAACCTTCATACTTAACCCTTCACTTACTATGATTCTGCAATGTCTTAATTTTCTCCATCTGTGAACTGTCAAAAAAACCCCAAACAAAACATCCCTGTTTATTTCACAGAACTGCATTCATAGCACACTTCCAGATTAAAGTAAAAGCCATCTAAGTGTCTGTATAGACATATATGCACAGATATTCACACACATTCTCCAGTTAAAACTCACTAATAATGAAAGGCCTAAGCATATTATCTTTAAAGGCAAGAGCGAAATCCTTACTGACATTAATAAGAGAGATATGCCCTAACCACACTTAAATGGTCATAAAAATTTTATTCTACATACTATTTTTCATTGTTATATTTTTATATTATGGGAATAAAAATTGTAAAGCACACCAATTAAAAGCAATATTATTTATTTTCATGCCTGGCTGAAGCATAAATCACTCCCCACAATTCATCCAAGGGCAGGGAGAGCTCTGTGTTCTTAAATTCTCAGAGTTCATTTTAAAAGCAGAATGTTGTCCTAACACAGGTGACTAGATCCTTAAAAAAGGACATACAAACAAAGGCAGCTGTTTTGCTGGCAAGGCTATACACCATGTCACTATAAATTGGCTACAAATAAAAATCATTCTTGCCTGTAATTCTTGTCTGCAATTTTAACTACAGTAGAAAAGTACTAATATAATCAAGAGAAGACTATACAAGACAAATGCATTAGCTTTACTCAACAAAAGCACCTTTAAGTGTAACCAACAGAAGAGTATTTCTACATAGCTTACACAGACCTACCAGCCCTATAAAATCCAGGTCAATATACAATTTGTGTCGTTAGTAGGTTGGTCTCCTTTGCTATTCTTCTCCGGTAACATTACATCTTACAACAAGTAACAGTGTTCCATGCTATCGTTGTCTCAATTTTATCATTGGCTACTGCTGGGTATTTTACACTTGAAGAAAGGCCCCTGGACCCGTAAGTTCTTTCCTCATGCTAGTAAGCTGTCTTTTGAACTGAATGACCTGAAAGTGCAAACAAAACAATCTTTTTTATGAAAACGGAAACAAGTCAAGTAATTTCTTTATTTTTTCTTCCTATAGTCTCCTTCCTGAGTCTATCGTGAAAATGTATAGCATCACATTAACATGCAAATCAGAGCTTCCTTTCTTTAAAATATTAAAGCACCTTGGAGAGCGTAACTTTTCCCATTTTTTAAATTATTATTTTGTGGTATTTTCAATATTATTTACTTGTTCCTGAGTGGCTTTTCATTAATTAGATTTGTTTAGCATCACCTTCCATCATGACATCAGGATCTTCTCATGTCAAAGTCAGACTGGCCAAACTGATTCACACCAAAACAACGGATTACCTAGAGGTGCATTAGAGCATATATAACAAACTAAATGCCAATTGGACATGATTTCTATTCTAAAAGTCAAGCTGACTTTTGCATCAGATTCATAAATAGCTCCCAATTATAGCTACCTGTAATAGTAAGAAGACATGATAAATTTCTAACTGAAGAGAGCTTGGAAATTGTAGGAATACAGCACCGGATACAACAGGTTATTCAGAAATAAGCTTAGAAATCCTGAATAGGGTTGAAGCTCGATGTACTAAGTTAAACCATACCAAAAAAAAACCCACAGAAAAGAATACTATCCTGAGATTGAATGGCTGTGCTGACAAATTCTTTTGTTCTACCAAAGGAGCACAAGCACTTGCCACCTTTTAATGAAATACTTCTGTCTATCAGTGAGCTATTGTGGTGACCTTTTCATGCTCCCACAGATGTTAAAGGAAATACAATTATGTCCACTGCTTCTGAAGTCTCTTTTTTTTAAGCTGACATTACTCAAAGCTCTATGACTCTGCATCTATCAATAACAGCATGACAACATAATTACTCAAAATCCGTAACAATGATTCATAAATTCACTTTCAGAAAGCTATGTAGTAAAATTTAAATTCAAGCTGAAGCCCTGGAAAATCCGAACACTAATCCTTCAGAAAGCAAAACAAAAGAAGAATTCACAAATCTGTGCCTGCAGCACAGTATGCCATATAGTCTACTTCTACAGTGAAGTTTTGAAAAGTAATCAGAGCTGGCTCACCACTTCACTCACTGAAATAAGAGGCAAGATACATTTCAACTTCAATACAAGCTGAAATTACTCCACTACAGAGATCAGTTTAAGGAATCATAATAAATCCAGCTCGGGAGACACTTTCACAAAAGTTGTTATCAGACACTGACACTTTGTGCATAGGGTGGCAAGCACCATCACAAACCAAAGAAGAAGACTAAAAGACAATGCACTGAACAGTCCCTCCTTTCTGTTCTTCCACTGGAGACACCTCACCTCTAAAACAGCTACCATACATGGCAGAAAGCAAACATGAACCGTAACCCCCTCCCCTGGGACTGTGCACTCCAAGACTGTGAGTGCCTCCCCTCATCCCCACCATGACCAGGGTCGGCCAAGTCTCTCCCCATGTTCCCCTCCACAACCTCCTTGGCACAAGTCCAGGAAAACATCTACTTCCTACCAGGGCTGAGCTACCACAAGGCCACCCAAAGGGGCTACCTCCCCTTCAAGCTCTGCTCTCCCCTGCCAGCCCTTCCCTCCTTGTGTGGCCATGGTATTTGGATCATCACCTGACAGTGGCACCACGGTGAAATACTCACACCCCTGATGAGTCAATCTGGGTAAACTTGAGGACTGGGATGGAGAAGGAGAAAGGACAGTCACCAAAAGCTATAGGGATGCCTCACCTCAGCCTCACTGACCACTGTGCCTACAAAAATGGGGCCTTAGAGGCTCCTGAGGTTTTTGTGTCTCGCAACTGCTTGTGACAAGGACACACCCTAACACAGGTGTAAGCCACCAACTTAACAACTCATTTTCTAAAAAGCGCGCACATACACATAGTTAGTGCTGGTGTTACAGCTTTTGTACAGTTATCTGGCTATAGCTCACAGACCAAAGCATGGTAATAAACTCTTCTTGGAAAGGAAAACCACACAGAGATTTAACTAGGAAAAAAAATAATAGCTGGGAGCTTGAAATCAGGCTTGGAACAATATGTACACTAAGAATCACAGCTGCAGTAAAGGAAGAGAATGTGGCTTCAAAACTGAAACTACAAAATAAGCTTTCCACTCAATTTTTAGAGAATCTCTTCTCCACCCTCCATGCCAGCCAGCATGTCAGAAGTCATGCACTACTGAGAATAATCAACACCTCACATTAGCATCCACTATTTTGGTCATTTGTATCCATTTCTTGACAATTGTACTCTTGGACTACCACAGGGGACTTCATTCCCAACTGCAGTACTCTGATAATATCACTTTTTTTTTAAGCCCAGGTGGTCAGCCAAGGAAAACTAGAAAAGGGTCACACAATCTGAGAGTTTCTAGTTCTCAAACATCAGCAGAATGCCTTCTTGATACAACATCAACAAGCAAAGCAAATGAAAGCTAAGGGAGGTCCTCTACAGCACTGTGAGACAACCAGCCCCCAAACACGATTGAGTTACACGATTGAGTTACACGATTGAGGTAATGAAATATACTAATTACTTATTATTTGCATCACTATAATTCCGAGGAAGATTAGTCACAGAAAGGAATGCCTTTGTGCAAGGGACTGTACAAACACAGTG